CGTGCCTCCACCTCCAAGGAAGAGAGGAGGTGGAGTTGGTGGACGGGAGGGCAGCAGTGGCTGTCGAGGTTCTGGTCACCAGGCAGGTGAGTGGGAACGGCGGCCACGGTCTTCCCCTTGAGGCCATGAGGCGCTGGTAACGCCGGCAAGGCGGGTGCGGACAGGGCCCAGCCTCTGTGGCAGGGGTGTGGCTAGAACACGGCGTGTAGTAGGTCTGGGACTGGGCCAGTGAGATGGCCCCTGGGAGGTCACCTCAGAAAGCAAAGGTGAGTGTAAAACCAGGTACATTATAAAGTGGAACATCCAAACTACAGCTACAAATGTGCCTGCGTCTGGTTAAAGAAACACACACCAAAAGTTGTGGTAAGGACATCACTGGCATTCTGGGAGCATCGGTGGATTGAAACCGGATGTTAGAGACGATTGCAAATGTTCTCAGTCCTAACATTGGGGCTGCGAGGGTGCAGCACATCCTCGTTTTTAGGAGACGCAGGCTGCAGTGGTGAGATGCCTGGAACTCACTGTGAGGCAATTCCGACAACAAATAAATGAAGCACACACTCCCACACTCACACTCACACACTCACTGTCACACACACATGCTCCCACTCCCACACTCACACACACACACTCACACACACACACACGCTCCCACTCCCACACTCACACCCATACACTCACTGTCACACACACGCTCCCACTCCCACACTCACACACACACACTCACACACACACACACGCTCCCACTCCCACACTCCCACACACACACTCACCGTCACACACACACTCCCACTCCCACACTCACACCCATACACTCACTGTCACACACACGCTCCCACTCCCACACTCACACACACACACTCACACACACACACACGCTCCCACTCCCACACTCACACACACACACTCACACACACACGCTCCCACTCCCACACTCACACCCATACACTCACTGTCACACACACGTTCCCACTCCCACACTCACACTCACACACACACACACTCCCACTCCCACACTCACACCCATACACTCACTGTCACACACACGCTCCCACTCCCACACTCACACACACACACTCACACACACACACACACACACTCCCACTCCCACACTCACACCCATACACTCACTGTCACACACATGCTCCCACTCCCACACTCACACTCTCACACACACACACACACTCCCACTCCCACACTCACACCCATACACTCACTGTCACACACACGCTCCCACTCCCACACTCACACTCACACACTCACACACACACTCCCACTCCCACACTCACACCCATACACTCACTGTCACACACATGCTCCCACTCCCACACTCACACTCACACACTCACACACACACACACTCCCACTCCCACACTCACACCCATACACTCACTGTCACACACATGCTCCCACTCCCACACTCACACTCACACACTCACACACACACACACACACACTCCCACTCCCACACTCACACCCATACACTCACTGTCACACACATGCTCCCACTCCCACACTCACACTCACACACTCACACACACACACACACTCCCACTCCCACACTCACACCCATACACTCACTGTCACACACATGCTCCCACTCCCACACTCACACTCACACACTCACACACACACACACACTCCCACTCCCACACTCACACCCATACACTCACTGTCACACACACGCTCCCACTCCCACACTCACACTCACACACTCACACACACACACACTCCCACTCCCACACTCACACCCATACACTCACTGTCACACACACGCTCCCACTCCCACACTCACACTCACACACTCACACACACACACACACTCCCACTCCCACACTCACACCCATACACTCACTGTCACACACACGCTCCCACTCCCACACTCACACCCATACACTCACTGTCACACACACGCTCCCACTCCCACACTCACACTCACACACTCACACACACACACACACTCCCACTCCCACACTCACACCCATACATTCACTGTCACACACACGCTCCCACTCCCACACTCACACTCACACACTCACACACACACACACACTCCCACTCCCACACTCACACCCATACATTCACTGTCACACACACACGCTCCCACTCCCACACTCACACCCATACACTCACTGTCACACACACGCTCCCACTCCCACACTCACACTCACACACTCACACACACACACACACTCCCACTCCCACACTCACACCCATACATTCACTGTCACACACACGCTCCCACTCCCACACTCACACTCACACACACTCCCACTCCCACACTCACACCCATACACTCACTGTCACACACATGCTCCCACTCCCACACTCACACTCACACACTCACACACACACACACACTCCCACTCCCACACTCACACCCATACACTCACTGTCACACACACGCTCCCACTCCCACACTCACACTCACACACTCACACACACACACACACTCCCACTCCCACACTCACACCCATACACTCACTGTCACACACATGCTCCCACTCCCACACTCACACTCACACACACACACACACTCCCACTCCCACACTCACACCCATACACTCACTGTCACACACACGCTCCCACTCCCACACTCACACTCACACACTCACACACACACTCCCACTCCCACACTCACACCCATACACTCACTGTCACACACACACTCACACTCCCACACTCACACCCATACACTCACACATACACACACTCCCTCATACACTCACCCAAACACACGCATACTCTCACACAGTCACACACACTTACTCACACCCCCACACATCCCCACACACATGCACACTCTCATACACACACTCACTGTCAGACATGCACTCTGTCACACCCCCCCACACACCCACACACACATACACACTCTCACATACACTCTCACACACACACACATGCACATACTCCCTCACACATACACACTCAATTGTCTCACACACACACACTCACACACACACACTCCCTCACACACAAACACACACTCACACACTCACTCACGCTCACATAAACACCCATTCACACACACACACATACACACACTGTCATGCACAGACTTACTCCCACACACACGCACACACTCCCACACACACCATGCAAAAACGGCCCATCATCGAGGAGCAGTTGTGGAGTCCAGGTAGCGGGTGTGCAGTTGGCCGTGGGTTGTGGTGCAGCCCGACTGTGTGAATGTCAGCACGTCAGTGATGGCTGTGCCAAGCCAGCGGCACTTCTCTGCCAAGGGCTCTGGGCGGGGCCCACGCGGTCCCGGTGTCAGACCCTCTGGGGTCAGGAGGGTGGCCTGCACCGATGTGGAGACATTCCACGCCGCCCAGGGATGGGGGAAGGGACGCTGCCGGTGGCATTGCTCTCCGCGCCTGGTGGCTGCAGGGTCGCCAGGGCCTCGAGGACACAGAGCCCGGCTGCCGGGACGGCCACCAGACGCTGCTCCCGGCCCCGCCTGCGGTTACTCTGTCGAGGGTTTTATCAATGACTTGAAGGTGTAACTGGGCTTATAGAATGTGCGGCTGCAAAGCGCGGAGCGGGAGGAGCTGGGAGCTGGGGATGAAAACCTTCCAGGTGGTGCACGCAGGACGGTGCAGCCGAGCTCTGGTGCAGCCGGGGAGGGGCTGGGCCCACGTCGGGCTCCCAGCAGGAACACCCGAGTTCAGCGAGCCAACAGAGCACGCCCACTGCTCAAGGAAAACTCACACCTGGCGGACGAGAAGACCCCGTGAGGGGAGGCACCGCCATCTGAGGCCTCGTGCGTCTCTGGGCGTGCTTCCCAAGGCCGGTCCCATCCACTCACTCCAAGGCTCACCCGCGTGGACGTGGCAGGACCAGCCAGCGTTTGAGACGCCCCCCAGGTCCCCGCTCTGAAGGGTGCAGGTCAATCCTGATGGGTCTCCCTCCCGCGGAGGAGGCGGCTGTGAACGGAGGAGGGATGCGCCTGTGCTCAGGGGACCTTATCCACTCGACCCAGCAGCGTGGACTCGCTGCCCCCACCGCCCTTCCCACCCACCAGCATGCTCCTCACGCCCCACGGCGGGCCGCCCAGCTGCGGACGGCCGGGTCAGCACCGTGGCCTTTCCAACTCCCAGTCCCCAAGTCCCAGGAAGAAGGTGGCTCCTGGCTCCGGCTCTGGTCAGAGGGGGCGTCGCCACAGCCGGGCCTGGTCCCTGTGTGGCTGAGGACCGGACTGCTGCTGGCCCTGAGCCTGCCCAGCAGGGCTGCGCAGCGCAGGGAAGGGATGGCACTGCCCTCCGCCGCCGTGTCTTGGTCCCACGGGGAAGGTGCCCAGGAAGGGCGCTGGGCTAACACCCACAAGACCTGCCGGCCCAGCCTGCACCTGACCTCGGGGACATGCAGCGAGCGCCCCTGAGGTCTGCTTGTTCCCAACTGCTCCCCATCTGGTCCTGAGCACGTGGCTCACCGGTGTCTCTGTCACGAGTCCCTGGCACATAGCAGGTGCTTAATAAATAACTGTTGGTTGGACGTTTCTTTCTGCTTTTCCACTGGCAGTGGTTCCTGGCCAGGTAGCAGTCCACAGTGGATGCTGCCCTGCTGACGGCTGCTCACCCCAGACCCACGGCAGGCACCATGCTCATCCCCGCCAACCCTCACAGTGCCAGGTTGCCAGGGCAACTGCATGCTCCCAGCTGCAGAGGAAGAGGCTCTGAGGGGCGTAGCAGCAAGTCTCCAATGGCACCATGAAAGCCGCCTGATAGCGCAGGTAGCAGGCACCTCTGTCCCCACTGGGGTTTTAGGACTGTGCCCGGACCCCAAGACAGACACGGATTCTGCGTTTTTAGGCTGGGACAGCCTCACGGGGGGCATCCACACCGCTCTTCACAGTGGGGGACAGGTTGCCGCAGAGAGGGTGCGGGGTGGGGTTGGGGAAGGAGAGGGGCTTCCCAGCCATGAGAATGACATGGGGGACTGTGAGGACAGAGGCACAGCCTGTCCCACCCTTCCCGGTGGCGCCCCGCGGTACGTACAGGCCAGCACTGCTGGGCAGCGGTTCTTGGGCGCGTTCTCCTCCCTCTGGGCCACGAGCGAGCTGTTGGGCTCCGCCTGGTACGTGCACAGCGCCTCCCACTCCCTCTCCAGCCGGTTCTTGTTCCTCAGGTGGTCCTCCATGTAGGCCTGCAACGGGAACGAGAGTCAGGGCGTGCGACATGGGGCCCACATCCCCTGTGTGCACAGTCAGGGCGCAGGCCCCCACCAGGCCCAGTTGGAAGGGCAAGGTGCCAGGCGCACGTGCGGACACAGAGCTCGCACTCTTGGCTGGGTCAGAGGGGTTTGTCTGTGCAGACTCAGCCCAGGCCGCCGTCCCTCTCTGTCAGGACAGGACCAGGAGAGCCAGGCACAGGGCAGACAGGTCTGGTCAACTACCAGATACTGGACGGAAACCGTGTCCAGCCGGGAGGAAGCGAGTGGGGCTCGAGCCTCAGGGAGGCTCCCTGCGCCAAGCTGAAGGGGACGGGCTTGTGCAGGTCAGGAGGGGCAGCTGGGAGCAGACGTGTCTGCCAGGGGAGCGAAGCGCAGGGGGCGGGGCTCTGGATATCTGGCTGGGGTGTCGGGAGGTTTGGGAGCAGGGTCTGGGCTGGGAAACAGGAGGATGCTGCCAGTGAAGGGACGTGTACCGCTGCACAAAACAGCTCATGTCCCACGGGGACACCATGTGGAAGGTTAAACAGCCAGGATTCACCCAACCGCGGACACTGCAGCCTGGGAAGGTGCCTCAGTAAATGTTTGCAATGAAAGCCACTTTCTTTTTCTCAGAGAACCACTGGCTACAAACAGATACGATGTTGCAATATTATTTGAGACTAGAGGCCCAGTGCAGGAGATGTGAAATGCGTGCACTGGTAGGGTCCCTAGCGGCTGCCGGCTGCCGGCTGCCGGCCCGGGCCTCCCTCACTTCCCCGGGCTGGCCCTGCCCCTGGTCGAACAGACAGTCTGCATACTATGCTTTTATCACAGAGGATTGTTCCACTGAAGTCTACGGCGCACTGCTTGAAACCATTTCGTGTGTCCCCTTGGAGCCACGCTGCGGCCGCTAGCTCAGAGAGCGCCTCAGGGGTGAGGGGGTGGCAGGGACCCCGGGGCGTGGCAGCATGCGCGGTGGCCGGCGGGCAGGCAGGCGTGTCTCCTGCCACCTGAGCAGACAGATGGCTGTCATTTCATGAAGCTGTTGTTCCCTGGGGCACATGCTAACAATGCACAGAAGGGATGGGGGACCCCCGCCCTGACCCCGAGGCCCACGCATTCCTGCAGATGTTAGTGGGCATTTGTCAGTCACGTGTGCTCACTCCAGGGCGGGAGCCAGGGACAGGCTCTCCATGCACAGAAGTCATTTCCCCGGTAATTGGCCTCCTTTGCTGAACCCACTGGGTGTGATGCATCTAAGATACCGAGCTGCTTGCCCGCGTGCAAAATATTAAACAGCGGGTGGTGTTAACAAAAAACAAAAGCAAAACCAGCAGAACTAGAGACTCCGACCCCCCTGCTCTGCCAAGACCTGATTCTTCTGGGCTCCCAGAGTCCCCAGCAGCCAGGACGGCCGCAGGGCTCGACTCAGTGTCTGAAATGCTGCTTCACCCGCCGTGCGCAGCCAGCTCACTGTGCGCTGCCAGCACCCTCCTGGGTCCCTCACAGGGCAGCCAGCTATCCAGCTCAGGTTCCACCCAGGAGCACCACCCGCAGTGCCTAGATGTGCCGGGGTCCAGCCCCAGCAGATCCAGGGGTCCCCAAAGGTGTGGACGGAGTCGGCGAAGAAGGAATGACACGGAGACAGCGTTCAGTTGATCAGCAGCCTAGCCAGGATCTCTAACCAAGTTCTGGTCAGGATCTCCAGCGAAGTTCTGGTCAGGATCTCCAGCCAGGTTCTGTGTCCATGTTCTCTTGCTAGGTTCTCCAGCCAGGTTCTGTAGCCATGTTCCCTCGCTAGGTTCTCCAGCCAGGTTCTGTCCAGGATCTCCAGCCAGGTTCAGTCACCAGGTTCTAGTCAGGTTCTCTTGCCAATTTCTGTAGTCAGGTTCAGTCCAGGATCTTTTGCCATGTTCTCTCACTAGGTTCTGTCTCTAGGTTCTGTCTCTAGGTTCTGAGGCCAGTTTCTGTCCAGGATCTTTTGCCATGTTCTCTCGCTAGGTTCTGTGTCTAGGTTCTGTGTCTAGGTTCTGTCTAGGTTCTGTGTAGGTTCTGTGTGTTGTTGTCTTGTAACATCTGTATTTATACCAGCTGATTCCAATCCTATCAATCTCTATTCCAAAGGTTAGGGCGTTTCTTATCTCCATTCTAGGGAGTAAAGATTATGTAGCTTAAGCATGATTGTTCATAGTTAAAGTGATTAATTACCCGCCTGGCACTTAGTTAAGGGGTTTTATTCCCTCCCTAACTTCAGGGGAAAATCCCTACCTGGGGAAACAACCTTTCTCGGAGAGGTGACCTTGGTTAAAACACACAGCGCTAAAGGGAGCAAACATATTAAGAACAGTATGCTATATATGCCAGGTCCCTTGAAACATATGCTGTGCAGATGTTTCTTTCCTGCAGTGACTGTGTCAAGCAGCAAGGATGGACCGGCTTCCGGCATAGATGAGCCCTGGCCTTTGTCCAAATGACCTAGACTCTCCGCCCCAACAAAACCTTCCCCCATTTGGACCCCTCCCCCAATCATCCCACCCTCTGCACCTTGTTCATGCTGATCCTCCTTAATGAATCTGTCCAAAGGTCAAGGTCAGTGCCAGCGAGCCTCCTCTCGAGCCTGACCAGGCCATGCCTGTCACCACCTGTCTGATCTGCCTTACTTACCCCCCACCTCAGGCACTTACTGTTATTTTATTTATTATTATTTTTGTTAACCCTGACCTGAGGAAATTTTTTTATTGATTCTTTTTAGAGAGAGTGGATGGGAAGGAGGGAGAGAGAGAGACAAAGAGAGAGAGAGAGAAACACTGATGTGAGAGAGACACATTGATTGGTTGCCTCCTGCAACGCCCCAACCTGGGCCAGGGATTGAAACTGCAAGCCAGGTATGTGCCCTTGAGCAAGAATTGAACCCTTGGTCCAATAGGCCACCACTCTAACCACTGAGCACGCTAGCCAGGGCCAGACATTTACTGTTTTACTTATTGATTTTTAAAATCTTTATTGTTGAGATTATCACATGTCCCTCTTTCCCCCCCATTATCCCCCTCCACTCAGTTCCCGCCCTGCCTCAGGCCTTCACCACCCTATTGTCCGTGTCCATGGGTAATGCATATCCTATCTAATAATAGACAAACATGGTAATTAACTGTACCTCCGACACACTTCCCATTGGCTAATCAGGGCGATATGCTAATTAACTGCCAACCAAGATGGTGGCCTGCAGCCAGGCAGCTGAAGCGAACAGGAAGCTTGCTTGCTCCAGTGATGGAGGAAGCCAAGGTTCCCTGCCTGCCGCCACCCAGCTCTGAGCTGCACTCTAAGCAACTATGTTGCAATTATAGAAGCTAAACAAACCCCAAAAACCTGCTTTCAGCCAGCTGGGCCTCAGAGCTGGAGTTGCAACAGTGTTTCAATTATAGAAGCTAAACAAAGCCCAGATACCTGCTTTCAGCAGCCAAGGTCTCAGAGCTGGAGCCGAGCCTCAGAGCTAAAGCCGGCTCTCAGCTCCAGTGACAGTCATAGAAGGTAAATAAATCGCAGAATAAAAAAAAAAAGAAAAAAAAGAAGAGATTGGGCGCTTCAGTCAGACTGGCCAGGCACCCCAGTGGGGACCCCCACCCTGAAGGGGGTGTGACCAGCTGCAAACAGCCATCATCTCCTCATCCAGGCTGGCCAGGCACCCAAGCGGGACCCCCACCCTGATCCGGGACACCCTTCAGGGCAAACCAGCTGGCCCCCACCCTGCATCAGGCCTCTATCCTATATAGTAACAGGGTAATATGCAAACTGACCCTAACAGCAGAAGGACTGGGGATGACTGGTCACTGTGACACACACTGACCACCAGGGGGCAGACGCTCAATGCAGGAGCTGCCCCCTGGTGGTCAGTGTGCTCTCACATGGGAGGAGCTCTGCTCAGCCACAAGCCAGGCTGATGGCTGCCAGTACAGCGGTGGTGGTGGTGGCCTCTCCTGCCTCCTCAGCAGCGCTAAGGATGTCAGACTGCAGTTTAGGCCTGCTCCCCGCTGGCAAGTGGACATCCCCTGAGGTCTGCCGGGCTGCCAGAGGGATGTCTGATTGCTATCTTAGGCCCAATCTCCCGGGGAGCGGGCCTAAGCCAGCAGGTGGTCATCCCCTGAGGGGTCCCAGACTGCGAGAGGGCACAGGCTGGGCTGAGGGACCCCCCCTGCTCCCCCCCGAGTGCACAAATTTTTGTGCACCAGGACTCTAGTATTACCTAATAATAGACAAACATGGTAATTGACCATACCTCCGCTACGCTTCCCATTGGCTAATCAGCAGAATATGCAAATTAACCCAACCAAGATGGCAGCCGGCAGCCATGCAGCTGAAGTGAGCAGGAGGTTTGTTTGCTCCAGTGATGGAAGAAGCCAAGGTTCCTAGCCTGTTGCGGCCCAGCTCTGAGCTCCAGTCTAAGCAACAATGTTGCAATTATAGAAGCTAAACAAACCCAGAAACCTGCTTTCAGCCAGCAGTGGCCACAGAGTTGGAGACTTGGGTTGCCCCTGGTGATGGAGGAAGCCAAGCCCTGGCCCCAAGCTACAAAGTTTCAATTATAGAAGGTAAATAAATCCTAGAAAAAAAAAAAAAAAAAAGGAGAGGCTGGGAGCTTCTGTCACTGGGGAGGCTTGGCCAGGCTGAAAACGGCCCTCAGCCCTTCACCCAGACTGGCCAGGCACCCCAGTGGGGACCCCCACCCTGAAGGGAGTGTGACCAGCTGCAAACAGCCATCATCCCCTCACTCAGGCTGGCCAGGCACCCCAGCAGGACCCCCACCCTAAAGGGGGTGTGGCCAGCCTGTAAACGGCCCTCAGTCCTTCACCCAGACTGGCCAGGCACCCTAGTGGGGACCCCCACCCTGAAGGGGGTGTGACCAGCCTGAAAACGGCCCTCAGCCCTTCACCCAGACTGGCCAGATACCCCAGTGGGACCCCCACCCTGAAGGGGGTGTGACCAGCTGCAAACAGCCA